GGCTATCTATATGTCCTTTCTGGTGAAGTGTCTACTAAAGTCCTTTGCTCATTTTTAAATTGAATAGTTTGGGGATCTTTTTGGTGTTGAGTAGCAGTGTGAGTTCTTTATGAATTTTTTATATCAACCCCTTACCAGGTATATTATTGACAAATATCTTCTTCCATTCAGTAGGTTGACTTTTCCTTTTGTTCATAGTTTCTTTTGCTGTGCAAAAACATCTTAATTTGATGTAGTCCCATTTATTTATTTTTTGTTTTGTTTTCCTTGCCCAGGGAGATATATCATAAGAAGTATTCTTAAGAGATATGTCAGAGATTTCACTGCCTATGTTTTCTTCTAGGAGTTTTATGGTTTTGAGTATTTCATTTAAATCTTCAATCCATTTTGAGAATTTTCTGTGTATGGTATAATAAAGTGGTCTAGTTTAATTTTTTTGCATGTGTCTGTACAATTTTAGAACACCATTTATTTAATAGACTGTCTTTACCCCACTGTACATTCTTCCTTCCTTTGTTATATATTAACCACAATGAGATATCACCTCACAAATGTCAGAATGGCTATCTTCAATAAATCAACAAACAAGTGTTGGCATGGATTTGGAGATAAGAAAACCCTTGTGCACTGTTCATGAGAATACAGAATGGTACAGCCACTATAGAAAACAGTATGGATTTTCTTAAAAAATAAATAAATAAAAATGGAGCCCTAGCTTGTTTGGCTCACTGGATAGAGAGTTGGCCTGCAGACTGAAGAGTCCCAGGTTTGATTCCAGTCAAGAACACATACCCAGGTTGTGGCTCAATCCCCAGTAGGGGGGTGTGGAGGAGGCAGCTAATCAATGATTCTCTCATCACTAATGTTTCTATCTCTCTCTCTCTCTCTCCCTTCCTTTCTGAAATCAATAAAAATATAATAAATAAATAAATAAGTAAGTAAGTAAATAAGTAAATAAAAAAATGGACCTTCCTTATGACCCAGCAATTCTACTTCTGGAGATATATATATATATATATATATATATATATATATATACACACACATATATATATATAATTTGAAAGAATATCTTCACCCCATATGTGCATTGCAGCACTATTTACAATAGCCAAGATATGGAAGCAAGCCCATTAGTAGATGAGTGGATAAAAAAGTTGTGGTGTAGTGATGCCAATGGTTCAGTGGTTGAGCGTTGACCTATAAACCAGGAGGTCAGGGTTCAATTCCCAATCAGGGCACAGGGTCTCAGGCTCAATCCCCAGCAGTGGACATGCAGGAGGTAGCCAATTGATGATTCTCATCATTAATGTTTCTATCTCTTTTTCTCTCTCCATTCCTCTCTGAAATCAAGAAAAAATATATATTTTTTAAAAGAAACATTTAAGAAAGTTATGGTATATATATAATGGAATATTTATTCAGCTATAAAAATATTTTAAATCTTACAATTTACAATAGTATGAACCTTAAGGGTATTGTGGTCAGTGAAATAATTCAGTCAGGGAAAAATAAATACCATATGATTTCACTTATATATGGAATCTAAAAAACAAAAGTAATGAACAAAAACCAAAACAAAAAAAACAAAAAAAAACAGAAACAAACTCACAGATAAGCAGAGATTGATGGTTGCCAGAGAGAATTGGGATTGGGAGACTGAATGAAAGAAGTAAAATGATTAAGAAGGAGAAATTGGGCCCAGCATTAATTCTCTCTTGTCGCTGATGTTTCTATCTCTCTCTCATTCTCTCTTCCTCTCTGAAATCAATAAAATTGTTTTTTTTAAAGAAGTAGAAATTGATAGTTATGAAACAGTCATGGGGTTGTAAAAGATAGCATAAAAATATGATAATAACTATGTGTGGTGCTAGGAAGGTAATAGAAATATCAGTGGGAATACTTTGTAAATTATACAGTTATTTACCCACCAAACTATACAGCTGAAACTAATATAAAAATAATAATAAAAATATTTTAAAAAGTATCTTGATAGTGTTCAAGTTCTGGTTTATACTTGTTTCTAATACTGAGCCATATTATTATTAGGTTAAATGAACTACCCATAGTAATAAAATGTCTTTTGCTCAGACTAATTTGATTTGGAATTTTGACCTAAGCACTCAGCCACCTGGTAGAAGTTCAATAAATTCAGTATGTTCTAAAAGTTTTGGTGTAGTTTTAAGCATCAATGACTCCAGAGATATAAATGCCATCACTTAAAAAAGTAAAAATCTGACAGTTTAATTATTTCCACTTTCTTAACATAAGATAGTCTTGTGAATTTTGAACAATAAATTTTGTTTCAATTTCTCTGAATGAATATAGAAAATGCTAACCCAAACAAAAAATTTAGCTAAAATTTTTTAATCTGTATTAAAAATGTTTAAATAAGTGCAAAACAAATGTATATAGTCAAATTGCAATGCTTATTATAGTTCTGAAGTTTTTAAAGCTGAAAACCACTCTAAGACATTTGACACACCCTGCATTTATTTTAACAGAATATTAACAGCATCACATATCAAAGGATGAGGTGAGGCAGATGACTATTAGCACTTGAAAAAAATAGGCATTCAAGAAAGAGCACTAAAACCTTTCACCAATATGAACAATATAAAAGAATTGTGAAAGAAGATTTAGAAAGAATATTTCTTTGTAGAGAACTAACAGATGTCTTGGGCCCTAATCTAAATCCTTAAGGGAAAGATGAATACAGTTAACCTTTTCTCAAACCTAGAAAGGCACTTTAAACAGAATATTCAGAAAAATTCTTAGATGTTATCTCTAGTTATAGACAAGGAAGGCAGTGACAATCAAGATCTTTCCTATATATTTTACCTTTCTTCTCTCCTTTTCCAAACACATAAAAACAGAAACCACAACTACTTAATGGGAAATAAAGCAATAAAAGAGAAAAGCCAGGTGTGGCTCAATGGTTGAGCATCAACTTATGAACCAGGATATTACAGTTTGATTCCTGGTCAGGGCACAGGCCTGATTTATGGGTTCAATACCCAGTAAGGGGCATGTAGGAGGCAGAGGGCATGAAGAAATGTCATTGATGTTTCTATTTCTCTTCCCCTCCCTTCCTCTCTGAAATCAAAATTATATTTTAAAAAATACAAAAGCTAAAAGCTAATCACATCTCCCAGCAGACTCCAGCTGGAATACTGGGATGGTGGAGGGGATAAATCTTAACTTTGAATAAAAATTAAAATATTGACTATAATATTTTATAAGAAATGTTAATTTTCTATTTAGAGCAGTGTTTATAATTTAAATGTAAATAAATTATTCCTTAAGAGTAATCAGAAAAGCCTAATTTTTATTTAGGAGCAGGGGGAAATTGGTCCAAAATAGCAAATATAAATGAATGCAAAGAAAAAAAAGGGGTTTTGTGATTTCATTCCACAATATGTGTGTGTTTGTTTTTTTTCAACATACCAGTTGTATAACTAATATAACTTTAGCCACCAGAAAGAACTGTAGGTTATCCACAGTGCCTTTGAAGATACTTCTTGACATTCAAAGAAATGTACAAAAGATATTCTAACCAGACAATTGTATGAAGCTTATTTTGACAATGACACAATTTGAGTTGGAAATTCTATCCTAAGGTAATCCCTTCAGCTATTCTTTCTACAGCTTTCTATTATACCCAGGAATTATAAAACCAGCTGTAATTATCACCAATAGCCTAATGTGATGAGCTAGAATAAATAATAGTATAAATGTCTGTTTTAATACTATGGTCCAATGGAAAGAATATTCATGGAAATTAACCTCCTCCTTTAAGAATGCCCCTCTAACATGTTACAGATTTCATCTGACAAAGCTGTGCAAGTTCTGACCCTGTCATTCTAACACAGAGGATTCTGACAAGGGGAAATGATAAATAGGGCCTAAATAAATTACATACCAATAATCTGGCTATTAATGAATACAAGCCATATGTCCTTTAATTCCATTATTAGCAGTTTCCCTGGACTTTTATTACATTTTCTTTAAACTTTTCTATTAACTCTTGATCATTGGATTTTATAACTAGAAACTCTGATCATGTAAAATTTCCCAATTTTTCAATGTTGAATCTAAATAAAAAATTTTTGAAAACATAAGTGATATGAACTCTAAAATGTTTAATTTTAAAACATTCACCTAAAAATAATTATGAATTTATAAATAATGATCAATAAAAGTATTTATATAAGTGATATTTTGTATGTTTGTAATTTTTGTTTTCTAAATTTTAAAATATACATAACACAAAACTTGTCTTTTAACCATTTTAAGTGTATAATACAGTTAAAATATTCATATTGTTGTGCAACCAATCTCCAGAACACTTTCATCTTGCAAAACTGAAACTCTATATCCATTCAGCAAGTTCCTATCCCTCATTCTCCCCAGTCCCTGACAATCACCACTCTATTTCTGTCTCTATGAATTTTACTGCACAGTGTATCTCATATAAATGAAATCATAAAACTTTTGTCTTTATGTGACTGGCTCATTTTACTTAGCATAATATTCCCAGTGTTCATTCAGATTGAACCATGCGTCAAAATTTCCTTCTTTTTAAATATTGAATCATATTCCATTGTATTTATATATTTCATTTTCTTTATCCATTCATTCATCATTGCACACTTGGGTTACTTCCATTTCTTTGCTCTTGTTACTAATGCTACAATGAATATGTGTGTATAAATATCTCTTCAAGATGCTAATTTCAATTTGGGGGTTATATACCCAGAAATGGAATTGCTGAATCACATGGCAATTAAATTTTTAAATTTTTGAGGAATTATTTCACATTGTAACTATAAATTTTACATTCTGTGTGACTATAATTTTAAGTTTTAAAATTACATGTATCATAAAATTGATGTAAGGATACTAAATTTTAACAGTGATCTTATTTTCTTCTATTTCCAATTTTTCTAAAATAAATACATTTCAGTTTTATAATTGGAAAAATTATTTTAAAAGCTTACCTTTCTAACACATTTGACTGTTTCTCAAATATTTTCAACATGGCGTTCAGTCGATTTGGTACTGAATACGTAGTTTCTATCGTTTAAAAAAAAGAAAACATTTAAAGGTATTATAAATGACTGAAGTTTACCTCCATGGTGATATAATTCACTTCAATATGTGTGAAACTACACAAGCATAGGGAAGAGACAGCAGGGTCACATTAAGTACTCAAGAAACAAAATACTTAAGATAAAAATAGTGCCATTTACAAGACATTATACTATTTTACATTTTCCTAATATTCAAAAAAAAAAAAAAAAAAAAAAGGAAGATACTATTGCCATTTGAAAATAAATAAATTGAGGCTCAGAGTGGTTATATAATACTAGAGGTCCGGTGCATGAAATTTGTGCATGGAGAAAGGGAAGGGAAGGGAAGGGAAGGAAAGCGAAGGGAAGGAAAGCGAAGGGAAGGGGAGCGGAGGGGAGGGGAGGGGAAGGAGGGGAGGGGAGGGGAAAAAGAAGAGAAAAGGAAGAGGAAGGGAAAGGGGAGGGTAGGGGAAGGGAAAGAGGAAGGGGAAGAAAAAGGGGAAAGGGAAGGGGAAGGGGAAGGGGAAGGGGAAGGGGAAGGGGAAGGGGAAAGGGAAGGGGAAGGGGAGGGAAGGGAAGGGCTTAATTGTCCTTAACCTATCTGCCTGCCTTCCTGATCACCCCTAACTGCCCTCCCCTGCCAGTCTGATCTCTCCCCTAACTGCTTTCCCCTGATGGCCTGATCACCCCTAATTGCTTCTGCCTGCCTGAACACCCCTAACTGCCCTCCTCTGCTGGCCAATTTGGCTCTGACTGGTCAGTTTCTATGCCAGTCAACATCAAAAGCTCTGCCTCCTAGGCTGCCATTAGCTCCTCACACTTCACCCAAATTTGGTTCTGATTGGTCAGTGTCTATGCCAGTCAGTGTCTGGCAAAGAAATGGAGGAATGGGTATTGGCCATGTGGAAAGAGGAAAAGAGGCAAGTTCTGATCAATGGTTGCCACAGAGGCTATGGATTAGACCCTGCCTCTCTCTCTCTGCAGGTCTCTCTCCAAGCCTGATCCTCAGCCTCCTAGGCAGTCACTTCTGGGTTAGGGTGCTGGCAGTGGCCCAGTCAGTGTTGGGTCACCATAGCAAATCATCACTGACTTCCAGTCTGGTCAAGCCTTCAGCTGTAACAGTCCTTAGGACCTTGGCTCTTTATTACATAGATGAAAAAAACTATGCATCTATAAGTGACAAAAGTGGAATGAGGTTCAGTGTGTCACTTCCTTCTGAAAGCCTATCTAATAAAAGAGTAATATGCAAGTTGACCATCACTCCAACACACAAGATGGCTGCCTTCATGTGGCCAAAGATGGCCACCCCCATGTAGACACAAGATAGCCACTACAAGACGGCCGGCAGGGGAAGGCAGTTGTGGGTGATCAGGCAAGCAGGAGAGGGCAGTTGCGAGGGACAAGGCCTGCAGGGGAGGGCAATTAGGGGCAATCAGGCCAGCAGGGGAGGATAGTTAGGAGGGACAAGGCCTGCAAGGGAGGGTTGGGGGGAACCAGGCCTGCAGAGGAAGACAGTTGGGCTGGGGGGGGGGGGGGGGGGCACTTAGGGGAAACCAGGCTAGCAAGGAAGAGCAATTAGGGGTGATCAGGCCTGCAGAGGAGGGAAGTTAGAGGCAATCAGGCCAGCAGGGTAGCAGTTAGGCATCGGTCTGACTGGCAGTGGAGATGTTAGGGTGTGATCAGGCTGGCAGGCAGAATCTATTAGGGGCAATCAGGCAGGCAGACAGGCAAGAAGCTGGGAGCCAGCAGTCCTGGACTGTGAGAGGGATGTCCAACTGACCATTTAGGCCTGATCCCCTAACTGTGTCCAGCAGGGGAGGATAGTTGTGGGTGATCAGGTTAGCAGGGGAGGGCAGTTTGGGGGAACCAGGCTTGCAGTTGGGTCTAAATGGGCAGATGAATATCCCTTGAGGGATCCCAGATTGGAGAGGGTGCAGGTTCAGCTGAGGGATACACACACACACACACACACACACACACACACACACACCTGTGCATGAATTTCATGCACTGGACCTCTAGTTATATATAAAATGACTCTAAGATGCTTAGAGTACTGCTTTGGTTGTTGCAGCTAAGCCAGTAAGTTCTATGAGAAGAATCTAACAACCATGCTAAATTTTTCAACTGAATAAAATAACCCTTAAGGTTACTTAAGATGCTATATAAAAGGAATCCAAGATAATGAGGATCCATAACAATGAATTCTCAGGGTAGTAATACAAGACTCTTCAATCTTGAAACACAGAATAATATGACAAAAACAGTCCCTGCACTGTTTTTGCTATATAAATAAGACATTACAAGTGCAAAGAAAATGTTAAGTAACATGAAAGCATACCACAGTTCCTTCCTATCCATCAACATGAGATGTCTCTCCATTTACTTTATCTTCTTTAATTTCTTTCATCAGAATGTTGTATTTTTCATCATATACATCTTCTACATATTTAACTAGATTAATATCTTAGTATTGAGTTTTGGTGTGGATGCAAATGGTGTGTGTTAAGTTTCAAATTTTACTTTGTTTATTGCTTATATATAGGGAATAACTGCAATAAGAAAATTCAATATTATAATATACCAGTTTCTGCCAATTGATTTTTAGATTTAATGTGATCCCAATCAAAATCCCAGCAAGTTATTTTGTGTTTATCAAAAAACCTAAATTCTAAACTTTATATGGAAAGGCAAGAGATCAAGAGAAGCCAATATAATATTAAAGAATAAAGTAGAATAACTGACACTATCCAAATTTAAGACTTACTAGAAAACCTACAATAATTCAGACAGTTTGCAAAAGAATAAATGAACAGATCAATGGAACTGAGTATAGATCCCAGAAATAAACTCTTACAAACATAGTCAACTGGTCTTTAGCAAAAGAAACAAAGGCACAAAGGTTAGTCTTAATGGAAATAGATTAGTCTTTTCAACATATGAGACTGGACAAACTAGAAAATTACATGTTCAAAATCATAATAATCTAGACAAAGACATTATACCTTTCTAAAGATTAACTCAAAGTGAATCACAAATTTAAATATAAAATATAAAACTTCTGGAATATAAGGTCTAGATTACTATGGATTTAAATATAACATTTTAGATACAACACCAAAAACACAATTCATGAAAGAAAAAACTGAAAAGTTAAACTTTTTGAAAATTAAGAACTTCTGCTCTGCATAAGATGCTTGCTAAGACAATAAAAATATAAGCTGTAGACTGAAAGAAAATCTTTACAAAATGCATATCTGATAAAGCACTTGTGTTCAAAATATACAACAAACTCTTAAAACTCAACAATAAGAAAGCAAACAACCAGGTGGAGGAAAAAGCAGCAGAGTAGATGAAAGTTACATTCACCACCTCTCAAGACCAAGCTGGAATTAAATTATCGAATAATCAAAATGAATAACCAACTGAAGACTAGATGAACAAAAGTCTTATGGCCAAAGACTTACAGAAGAAGCCCCATTGAGAAGGGCAGAGCCTAAAGGAGGGATAGCCTCATACCCATGTGTGGCAGCTGAGAATCCAGACATATATATCAGCTGCAGAGGTCCACACCTGAGTTATGTAGGGTCTCAGCCACAAACCAGGCTCCACAGCCTAAAGCACCATAGCTAGAAAGAAGTATCCATATCAGATATGGCTGTGAAAATCAGCATGGGTTCTTTATGCCAGGGAGAGACAGACTCTGCTAGAAACCCAGGCACCCTCTTGAAAGGTCACTGCACAAATTTTATCGATAGCCGCTCACCCTGGTAGAGGAAGGGTGTATCAGGAGTTATTTGAAGACAGACTGGGTTTTGTGGCTCCAGTGAGGATGCTAAAAGAACAGCCACCAAGATCACGGTGTCTAGTCACTCTCCCACACCATCATAGACATCATCCTTCCTGTATCAAGCATTCCTCTCTTTAAGTCCTCAGCTTGGGTAAATGCATTAGACCCAACCTCCCAAATCCCTGGCCTTTTCCTTGTTGAGTTCACACCCTTCAATAAGTTTGCTGCATAAAACTGTGGTGTACACTTTTTCTTTTTTAAGGATGCTGAAGGTGAACTCAGGAGGAGTAAGAGACTGAGTTGTGAGGCTAGGCCATTTCCCTTCATCCAGCCATGAGATAGCAGCAGTTTCATGCCATCTATGTGACAAAGCAGCACAGGAGGGCAACATACCCCAAGCAATCAGAGCAGTGGCACCCTTGTGCCAGAACATCAGCACCACACTCCCCAAACACTATAGCAGAAGTGTCCTACCCACCTGTGCACCAGAATAGCTGGGCCCCTTGAGACATATCACTGTGCACTATCCCCACCCAGGATTCCCAGAATAGTGGCCTAGTTATTTCACCCCTGATGCCAGAGCAGTGGCACTCCACACTCCCAAAGTTGTTCCAACAGGCCCACCATGGAAAACCATAAGCTTGACCTGCCTGACTGCCAGTGGCCCCATCCTGCCTAGCATGCACTCTACAGTAATGTCTGATGGGCTCTCACCAGCCTTGCCCCATTGTGCAGAAGACTCTTCAGGAGGTCCAGGCAGACTCTAGGAAAAACTAAGCCATGTGACTATATCCTGAGACTCTTGGCCAGTGGCCTCAGACCCAGTTCTTGTATCAAATTTGAAACTGTATTAATCTGGTGAATACCACTCACATCCCTACCTGGTGCTCACTGAGAACCTATCTCATGCAACTCATATGTTTCCAAAGGCTTTTTCAATAAGTGAACCTAATAATCAGCTAGCAGGTAGAAGCATATTTTGGGAAGCCTTGGGCCTTTTGCTGACCTAACCCTGGGTTCCATACTTATAAACATGGGCCTTGGTGCACAGAATTGTCCTTCCATGCACACCCAGGCCCAGGAGAGGCAATCACAAACTGTGGATCACATTGTAACACTAAACAGATATCCCAGGGCCTTTCATAGGCAGCACCTGATATTCATCTGCACTGGAGTACCTCCAAAGTGACCCCATAACCAATATATTCAGTGGT